TTAATCCGAGCATTTTCATCCAGCTTGTAATAAATTCATCCAAGAACAAACAAGAATCTACACCTGTCACGGATTGGACAGGTGAAACGAAGGATATTGTCCAGTGACGAAACGATTTCATTCGAAGATTACTTCTATTTGCCCAACGCATCACGACTTGCTAATATATGCCTCCTTAATCTGTCCGTAAATAGATTTCACCAAAAATATCAAAACCTCGTCACATCAGAAGCGACATCGCACCGGCTCTCGAAGTCTGTCAATGAAGATGTCGAAAAAATTAATACACTGCGGGCAATATCGGTTTTGTTGACATCGGATTTTCGTTTGCCTGCAGGCGGGCCCAAAGTATTATCGTAAATGAATCGGTTTATTTTTAGTCTAATGGAAGGACCAAGAGAACTTAAAGAGCTTTCTCGCTGGCCTTCAGCGTCTAACGTGATCTTTAACCAAGCGGTTGTTGAAGGCGACGTAGCAAAGGTAAAATTTTTGTTAAAATACGGCGGCAAACAGATCGCGATCAACGAAAAGAACAAATACGGCTTGACGCCTTTACAACAGAGTTGTCTTGAGGGAAATCTCGCTTTGGTTATGTTACTTCTTGACCACGGAGCTAACATCGAAGGCAAGGACAATAATGGCTGGAGTCCGCTGCATTTTGCGATTGTTTCTGGCCACTGCAATATTACTAGTTTGCTAATAGACTCTTGCGCGAATTTGACTTGCGTCGACTGCAAGGGTCGCTTACCCGTTGATCTAGCACAGACTGAAGAAATGTTGGTTTTGATTACAAGAGCTATGGAGGCCGCTGGGTATGTTGAAACGGCGCGGTTATATCTTGAAAACTGGGGCCTACGATCGCCGCGTTCGGACGAAGAACCATTGTCGCCTTCTTCGCTTCAAGAAGACATGGAAATACCCGAAATATGTAACGCTACGAATATCGAGGGGTCTTCAAATGAAGTCAAAACAAACTGTATGAAAAACAGAAAGATCCAAGATATTTTGAAGCAACCATCGACGAATTTAGTGCCATCGAAATAAGGGATGTCATAACATTTTTTAAAGAAAATACCTTTTCTGAGATTTTGGATCCAGTTTGACGCAGCGCCTGTAAAGACTAGAGATTAATGAACAAGTTATGAATTCAGATGGAGTTTTACGGCATCAAACTTCGCATGAATCTATTTCATTAGTGACAAAATAGAAGCAGTTTTATAATCGATACATTTCGCCAAATTTTGCAATGAAATTCTCTACTTCAGCGGGCCTGAAGATGAGAATCGAGGAATGTTTTAACTGTAATTAAAGTTGCGCTAGACGAATACAAGTAAAGGAAACCCGAGCGTAGTTAAAAATAGACCAAAGATTAGCAAGCTTTGGTTTTGGTGATGGAAATTCTCCATTTTATTATTCGCCCAATATTTTCATCGGCAGCGAGAAACGGAAGTAAAAAAACTGAAGAAACTTTACGCTAGTAAACTAAAAAAGACTCGAAGTGAAATAAAGTTCAAAAAATGTTCTCGTATACAGTGGTTTTCATGATTCCCTGCACGAAAGCAACAATATTGACAACCAAAACTAGCTTAAATTTACATAAATCTTACAAATATGAAATGGTACCCTCAATTACAGGCAATCAAGAGTCGAATTACTGTGCGAGATGAGGACAGTTTATTTAAGAGATTTATTTTCCCTACAAGCTTCACGAGATAGCTTCACTAGCAAATTCTGTCTACCAAAATATTAAACCCATGACTTGTATTTACACTTAATCTCTATACATTAAGATTTAATAAGCTAACAGCTTGCCCAGTCTTGTAGACGAATTTGAATTTAAATTTACAAAAGGAAAACTCTTCCTAAAAACCACATGGACAAAACCACAACTAAAACAACGAAACACAAACAATCAAACGGTGTTCGACTCAGTAAATAGTCTTCGCGGCCCGGGCGTATCGCCACGTGTCGTTGTACATGTATTCCGGGGTACCCGTATCCCGTGACGATCACCCGCGTCCCGCGAAGATGAGAAATGGGACCAACTGCTCCACTATTTATTATGTCCAATTTTCGATCAAACTTCTAAATCAAAACCCGCAGCACAGTAGTAGTTGTTTCAAGCTCTACCACAAAACTAAATTGTCGTTAATAAATCAACTCCCCATTTCGTCTGAAACATTAAAGTCTTTTATTTACATTTCTTAATTTTATTAGTATGTGTAACAACAAAATTATCAAACACTTGCTATAAAGACAACATACATTTTTAAACTAAAGTGGGTAATGTTAAAGTTACCGATTTTCAAACAATTATTGCGCCCTTTAGGAGGGAATAAATAAATCTTTGTGTTTCATTTTCTTCAGCTCTTACCGTGGATTTCACGGACCTGAAGAGGATGGTACTTTGTGTAATATTTTCTGGTTATTTTTCTAAATAATTCAATTCTATAATGAGCCATTGAGGTAATTGTCTGGACTGTCACGCAGTCACGCAACGCTTCTTGATTTGAAGACGTTACTAAGGAGAAGAGTTGCGTGACGTGCAGTTCACAGTTGATGCCATGAATGGTTTCATGTGAGCTCAATTCACTCGGCATCTTCTTTGGGTTTAGTTGCAGCCTTGGCTGGGCGTTTGCCATGTTCATAGTTAACTAGCTTTTGGCCAACAAGATATCTGAAATAAAACAATACAAAGTGGTTTCTCTCAGTTAACTACCTTTGAGACAAAAGCCTTGAAATTTACTTCAAGATACTCGAGTTTCCTAGATGAATTGCCGAGCTGGCCTTGCTTTTAGCAACAGAAAATAGACATGAGAACGAGGTGTAAGTAAGATGCACCTAGTTCCCTGATAATGACGTTACTATATCCTCAGCTGAAGTTACTTTGTGCCTCAGTTTCAAAACGAGTCCTCAAGCAAAACCTTTCATATGAAAATGAGTTTGATTTGCAAGAAAATGGACCTGTACGCGGAAGCCGCGAAGACTCGTTTTGACACAGAGGCAAAAGGCAACTCGGGAATGACCTATAGTCCCAGAATAGCAGATTTGCACGTTATCGTCATTTGACTACAAATTCCAGAATTCTTTCGTTTTTTGAAAAGGTGAATTAATCAACATGACACGAGCGTGG